ATTGAAATTTTCAATAAAAAAACGAACAAAAAGGAAAAGCTTGCTTTGTGAGCTTACATTTGCACCCTCTGATATTCTATCTCCTCTAAAGGGTCACTTAAGAGGCCTCTTTTCTCAAAACATAGTTATTGAATCAAATGTGCACTAATTTGGGACTCTTTTTGACAAAATGACATTACTGCCTAAAACCCAAAATTGCCAAGAAATTGGGTCCATCCATATGTATATGAAATGGACTTATCTAGTCCTCGATGAGGCTGATTTATCATTTAAATGAAACTGCATATTTAAAATAATGTTTCATAATAATATTTACAAAAATTACATAACATGGAAACAGTTTACAAAATGGATTAACCTTCACATCACAACAATTATCCTTGGAGAACAATACTACGATGGCCGAGTGGCAACTCGATGTCAGTTGGCAACTTGCAGCAGAACTGATGGGATAAAAAGTTGAGCTTACCAGGGAGATAACAGGATGAGTTGGTGTCGTCCTTTGCAAGGACTTGTCGTGACTGTTGTTGCCACTTGAACTGGTTGCACACTTGCAAATACATTTGTTCCTCAACACACTCCCATTTACGCAGAAGCACTTAATGTGCTTAATGCAATTGTCAACTTGCTCCGAGAGACTTGTGGCACATCCCGGGAAGTGTGGTTGCAAAGGGATGGCCTCGTAATGGGCTGTTGGGGCGGTTCGGACTAATTATGTGCCCATAATGAACCAATTATGTATATTCATTCCTACTATTGCTACTAGACACTTTCGAATTTGTGAATAGAAATTAAAACTTGTACCTTTAAAAATATTAAAAAAGTTGGTATATTTTTGATTTTTATTTTTTATATTTATATTTGAGACGGGTTCTCTTCATGTGTCGTTTCCAAATTGAATCCTCAAATGAGATTTTTTTTTTTATTTGCACTGTATGGGTAATTCTTTAGAAAGGTCAACCACCATTACAAAATTCAAAGTATTTTTTTATTCTTATATTATAATTATTGCTATGTTATTATATTATTTTTAGGAATCTTTTAAACTTAACTAATAAAAACAAACTTCACAGTATATAAACAAATAAATAATATTTACTTTTAATTACTTCAAAAAGAATTTTCATACACATTTTCATGATGTATGAAAATGTGAGAGCTACAGTGATGAAAACTAAGTTCAAATAAACGACTAAATATTTGTAAATGAAACAAATATTAAATATCAATATATTGAAAAATTTTAATTCAGAACATTAAATGCATAGCCTTTTTAAATTGGAGATAAACTTTTAGCTGAAAACCATCACATCTAGGTGAAATCGGTGTTTGGTTTTTGAGAAAGTAGTTTCTTATTTTGTTTTGTGCAAACACTTTAGTTTTTTGTGAATGTTTAGAAAACAGAAAGTTTTCCAAAATCAACCTTTGCACCATTTATAGTGCTTTTGAAGAGCTATAAGATTTACTTTTTGCACAGTCTCAATCAAAGTCCTTTTTGTTTCAACTTAAATGCTTACGAATATCGCGTTCGGCATTAGAGAACCGCCCATATGGATATTTTTCGAAATTATTTGGACCCTTTCGGTTGGGTGATGCACCCCGCAGGAGAAACGGAGCATATGTACAATGCTGCAACTGCACACCACGTACAGCTTGTACGTAAAATATCAAAATTCACGTGCAACACAACGTGAAATAAACTGACATCAAATTTAATGATAAACTGCAGCTAAGCCAATTCACAGTTGACTTGTTCTAAGGGTGCAACTGCAACGGCCATTACTGGGGGCCCTGGCAAATGCGTGGCACGCAACTGGATGACTTTGAAATGACCTTCGTGGCGGATTTGCAAGTTACTCCGCACTCCGGCGTATCGGAAAATCGCGTGCCACGCTTTATTCGACTATTGCGTAACTTTTCCCATCTTGGAAGGAGTGGCTTTCCTGCGATTGAATTGCAGCCAGGACAAGCAGGAGCAGGAATCGAACAGGAAAATCCACTCAGCTGGGTGGATTCACCTGCTGTCCCTGACAGCTGCCAGTTACTGTCCCGGCCATTAGTTTTAATTAACCAGTGGCAGTCGTTAAGCAAATGGCTTCTTTCATATTACGATCGTATCCGAGTACCAAGCTCCATGGCCAAGTCAAATCTCGCCTTCAGTCGGAAATTGCATGCAAATCGACATAAAATTAATAATCTCGCAAATTACTACGTAGTTTCCCTTTGTTGGTAGCTTCCTAATTAGCTGGAAACTTTCCCCTCTAAGCTCTGCGTTTGGAGCATCAGGAATTTGTTAATTAAGCCACTGGCCACCCAGTCGCCCTTCCAAGTCTTTAGCTTGATGAGGACATTTTGATGGGATAAAATCTTGATGAAGCGTTTGGTAGCACAGATTTCCACCGGATTCTATGCAAAGGTCACCACAATGTAAAGGTTAAATAATTTTGAAGGCGATCAATGTCTTTAAAAATTATAATCGGGTTCTAGATATATATTGAAATATTATATATATTGAAACATAAAAAGTGTATAAGTGTAAAAGTGTATGTTTTCAAAAAGTTAAGGCTTTCCAGACAAGAGATTCGCGGTTTTCCGTTAAAATAACTGTGCTTCTTTGTCACTATCCAATATTTTCCGATTAATTTGAATTCAATTTTAGAATACTTGTAATTATTTTGTGTTTTGTTGAGTCTTTAGAAAGTATCTGAAAAGTTCTGAGGTTTATTGGCTTGGCGTATTGTGTTTCCTAAACTTTTTCTATTTCTCCGGCAGTAATGAGGTACAACTTAGCGTGAAAGATTACTCCTAGAAGGGACACGTTGAGGGTCTTAAGATGTATTTCCACGCCGTAAAACAAAGCTAAGCACTTCACGACCAGCGTTTTACGTTGTGACAAAATGTCCAACAACGGAAATCCAAGGGCACACAGACCCCAACTCGGCCCCCCCTAAAAGCATAAATTAAGTTGAAGGAACGGATGCAGGAGCCATGGCATTCATTGTTCCTCAAGGGACCTTTGGTGCATTTATCCTTCGTGACTCTCCATGGCAGGGCCATGGCAGCGCCCTTCGCTCTGTTGCAGCTACCGCAAACCAATTTAATTGCCATTTTTCCCTCCAACCGACCAAAGACAAATAACCAAAGCTAATAGATCAAGTCATCTTGTCAACAAGCTTTACAATTAAATGGCGCACATCCAGTTTCAGATACCAGGAAACGACTCAATTTAGCTCAAACCGAAGCACTATTTTAATGCTATTTAAGGTCAGAAGTAAAACTCCTTTTTATTTTAAAAGTTATTTAAAAATTGGTATATTCAAGAGCCTAGGGATGTGCTTTGAAATTTTCAATGTTGATCGTGTCTGCCTAGAACTTCCAGTCTGTAATTGGACGCTCCTCCCGCAAGTGCCCGGCTAGCTCAGTCGGTAGAGCATGAGACTCTTAATCTCAGGGTCGTGGGTTCGAGCCCCACGTTGGGCGAAATTAATTTTTTATTATTTATTAATTTCTTTATTTATACAAAGAATTAATTCTCTTTCGTTTTGAAATTATTATGATAAATGAAGAATTAAGATAAATTTTAAATAACTTCAAAATGATGAAAAATAAAAATTTACTGAATCCTACAAGTTATGACTATATATTGAATATTAGAACATACAACTATGTTTTTCAAGTTTTTTTTTTTAGGAGAGTATACATATAACAGGAATATAATATATATGTTTTATTTACTTACCAGTGAAGTGGGCAAAAATGTTCTTTTTGATCATTTTTCTTTTAAAGTGGGAAGCATATTCATATATAAACTTTTTAAATATTTATTTAGCCTTTATTGGGGACCTCTTATAGTTATTCGTATACAGTTCTAAGAAAAATTACCTGAGTGACTTTCTGTTTGCATTAACTTAACTGCAAATAAAAGTTATGTATGAGTCCACAAAAATAATGCTCAAAAAATTAAAATGCACCTTAGCTATTTTTGGGAAATAAAAAATGATGATAAGCTGTTTAAAAAAATGTTTTAAAAGTAATGTAGATGTATGTATCAAGTATGTAGATGATGAGATTTTATTCTATCAAATATAACATAAACCAACCTAATTCTAAATTTTTTTTGCAAAAAGTAATGCTATTTAAAAACGTTTCTAAAAGACTCGTGCTTTTTTTCGGGACCTTGCAGTGACAATGAATGACCTTGCTATCAGGGTGGACCTTTTGTGCCATGTTCACATTCTGAATTGCCAAATGCAAATGGGAATAGGAATGGGACGGGACGACTTTCCCTGCACTCATATAACGCATACGCCCCAGCAGCTCTACACTCGCCCCAGTGCAGCAGAAATTTTTGATTCGGCGTCATTTTTCCCCTCGCCAGGATACTTGCATATAAACGGCATCCTGCGATCTGTGTTTGCCCATTTCGTTGGTGTTCAATCCCAGCGGGACTCGTAAACACTTGGCCAATACACGCACACTCGCCGAGCCACCCAAGGAAGTGCGGAATGCGATTGAGTGGGAAAAGTTGGACGAGGGTTTGGCTTGGCAATTGGCAATCCTTGACCCGTCATAACGTCTTCCCATCCCCCTCTACCCTTGGCCTCCCCACTCGATTCCCCCAGCTGACAGCAGAGTTAAATGAGATATGCTTTTTACATTTTTTCGATAAATTCTCTGCTCTTGCCTCGGTCCGACAGTTTTGGGCGAGGGCGTAGGGCTCTGGAATGGGTTCTGGGGTGGTCTCGTTGGATAACATTATTAGTGAACGAAAAGTTTGCCATAAAAATGGCAAACGGATTTGCGCAGCGCTTAAAATTGAGATTTACTGGGGAGCGATATTTATGGCGAGAGCCACACAGCGAGCGGAGCCAATTTAAGGAAAGTGCTTAGTTATGCCCGGATTCTGCTGCTTATCTGGGTGACATTGATGAATGCCCCGGGCAATTAGTGCTTCGATATATAAGGCCAGTGAAACTCCACCAGCTGTACACACAACCAAGATGCAGTCTCTGTTCCTGGTCTCCTTCCTTCTGAGCTCGGCCTGGGTTTTGGCACTCCCGGACTCGGATTCGGACGTGGACTTGCCCGTGACTACGCCGTCTGGAAATGCAACCTCTGAGGAGCCGGAAATTCCCACTAACTTCTCGCCGTTCGCCTTCCGCGACGGACGGTTTGCCGTGAGCGCCTTCGCCAAGGTGAACTGGTTCCAAGCCCAGGCCACCTGCGCCTCCTATGGCTACACCCTGGTCAGCCTTAACATGGAGCAGGACCAACGCGCGCTCCGTACCTTCCTCTTCACCTTTGCCCGTAACCAGCAGGACCTGCTCTACGACCCACTTTGGACGTCCGGCACCGACCTGCCCAACGCCAACAGCTGGGTATGGTTCAGCAATGGGCGCGCCCTGAACTACCGCAACTTCCAGAACGGACTCCCAGGATACTCCAGTGAGAATCGCAACTGTTTGGCCATTAATGGCATATCTGGAATGTGGATCAACGCTGACTGCAGGGATCAGCGGTACTTCATCTGCGAGAAGCGTTGCCTTTTCGACGACGACGTGAATTAATTTGTGACCCGATGGGTTCTCAAAATTTTCAAAATAAAATATTTTAAATGAGCAAGCTATACCGAATGGTTTTTCTTTAAAAATGCATTTTTAATATTTAATGGGCTTAAGCTCAGAAATATAACAAACTGAAGTGATAAGCTTGCACGACGAAAATAGGCATTATTTTTTAGGCATAACTATATTACCTCGTCGAATCAAGAAAATCTTTAAAAGATCAGCTAACCATATATCCAACTCAACAATATAGTAATTTATTTTTTATTAGGAATACACTTGCTCTGATCGAGTATGCATCTCTTTTTAAAAGCGTCGAGCTATGTGGTCCTCCTTGATTATGCCTTTCGAAAGAGGTTCTGACGGGTAAAAGCTTTGAAATGCCTGCAGCTAGCTTTCCATGTCTTTTGATAATAAATAAATAATACAAAATATTTAATGCGCCAAAGTATATATATTTATGTTTAGTTTATTTTGTCATATAAACACTCTTTTGTCTAGCGAAGTGTCATTTAGAAGGCAAACATTTTCGCAAATGAAAAAGTGTTTCTCCTCGCAGGACACACTGTGCCAGAATTTGTCGCCTTTCAGGATGAGGCAAGCATACTGTTCAGTTTCATCCGATAAGGGTTCCCCCTCCGCCCATTCCGCATAAGTCATAGGCAGGCCAGTGCTCAGCCAGGTCCATGTGTAGGTGCTCTGCACCAGGTTTGTGGCTCCCAGCCAAAAGTTTTTGTCGCTTAAGGCCTCACCTGGGGGGAGAATTTATTTAAAAAATCTATTGATATTAATCGAAGCAATATTACCATGCAAAAAGACTTCATTGAGCATGAACTGGTGCTGGTCATAGTTCCTGACTGTAGCCAGAACAGAACCCACTCTGTTGCAGATGATGTTGGCCTCAAGCCATGTCACCTAGGGAAGACGAACTATTGGCGACCGAAGAGGAGGCTTTGACACAACTTACTTTGGCGAACCCAGCCACGGAGTAGTACTCGTCGCACTCAACGAGGGGATTGCATCTCGGACCGAAGATCTGCTCCAGGTTAGAGCCGTCAACAAAGGTACTTCCCCACAGGGGCAGGGTGCAGGCAACTAGAAATATTCGAATCATACTGAACAGAGCTCGTCCACCCGTCGCTCCATTTATGATCCAGAAAAAGCTAAAAATCCATCAATTTTCACTCAAAAAGCCATTAGCCCTCCCAAACCATTTTATCAATCCCTACAATCAAAACAAAGGGAGCTTTTTCTAGGAAAATATAAAATATTTATTCAATAGTACAAATGTAAACATTTTACAAACTTATTCCCAAAGTCTTACAACTCTTGGAAGCTAAGCCTATGATCGGTCCGATTGTCACTCTCTAAAGTTAATAGTTACTACAGTGGTTCTGCGTTGGCCAACGCGTCTAAATTAATTTAAATAACGCCTATTGGGGACACCCTTAGTCCGACAAGATCTATCTAACAATAGTGTACTATAAGCATGTGTGAAATGGTACCTTAAGTTGCCAGACTCGAGGTTTTCTCGAGGATGCAATGTTCTGGATAAATAATAGAGCCAATCTTTACGAATTAGCCATTTTGAGCACATCCCGAGAAGAGTTCGCGGCCCTGTGTGATGAGTTACCTAAGCTAAGCATTTTGGAATTAAAGTCTAAGTGGGCTAATTCTCTCAAGGCGTGGGCAAGTTCTTGATGGTGTATCAGTTGACAAGACAGTTTGCTCTCGTTCTAGCCCGGTTTTGTGTTCTACTCTAGAATCGGATCGTGGGCAGGTCTTAGACTATGGACGACTCTAAGGAATATCGTTCAACCAACCATACGTCCAATAAATCATCAGTCATCTCGATTTTTTAATGCAGATTAATAGTATTACTCCTATCGAGTTTTTAGACTAATGTGGGGGCATTCATTATTTTCTGCGACATATTTCAGAGAACGATGAGATTGACAGGACGTATTTGTGGTCTCGGAAGCGGAATTACTGGACTTAGTCGAAAATGTATCCCTTGGAATTTTTACCCACCCAACTCGTTTAAAGTATTCTGAATATTTTCACCAGGAGTGGGGCTCCACCCTCAGTGGTAGTAGTCGCCGTACTGGTAAGTGGGGGGCTGCTTTGCTCCTTTGCCATTCGGCTGGTAGAGGTTGTGGTGCGACGAGGAGCGGTAGGCGAAGCTGGGCGTGGCAGTCTCTGGTCGGTGGTTGGCGGGGGATTGGGTGCGGCGTGCCCTTCGCTCTTCAATGTTCGCCGGCCAGCGCTGGTGGTGGTCCTCCGAGGACCGTCGCCGGTGGTACCGCTTGGAGGGCGGGCCGGAAGATGTCGCCGGCGCTGGCATGGCCTTATGTTGGCGGTAGCTGCTGTCGTCACCACTGCCGGCGCTGAACTGCTCTGCCTGGCGGCGGAGACGCTCGTCCACAGAGGAGTTCGGAGTGCCGTGGAGGTCGATTATGTCACCATGAGAGTTCCGGCGCGCGCGCTGCATCTCAATTTCAATGTCTAAGGGGTAACCGTCGTAGGGGCTGTGTCGCTGCCGCTGACGCTGATGTTGCTCGTGGGCATCCAGGCGCTGGCGCCACTCGGCTGCCGACACCTGCTGACCGTAGAGATCGGGCTGGGCTTGGAACTGGGCTCCGCCTTGGCCGTAGATGTTCTGGTAGGAGGAGCGGCGCCACCCGTCCTCGTACCGACGCCGAGGGGAGTCGCGGGCGACAACCTCTTCTTCTGCAGCTGCGGCTTGCTGCTGGCGCCGCTGCGAGCGACTGGAGCTGCTCTCCGAGGAGTCTTCGCCGGAGGTTCCTAGACCCAGGTCCTTCTCGTCGACGCCGTACGCCTTGTAGGGAGCACCAAGGAAGCCCTTGGAGCCGTAGGGCCCGTTAATGCCCATGGTGGGGTACTGCATGTAGTAGGACTGGGAGAATGGCTTCTCCAGCTGTTTCTCGTCCAGGCTGTCGTTTACTTCGACGTCGCTGCCGTCATCCTGGCCTGTCCATGTGAGGCACGAGCCAGGTCCGAAGAGAGAGAGCAGCACGGGCAACAGGAAGAGTCCGTGCATGGCTCCGAAGAAGATCACGAGGAAGACCATCTTGAAGAACACCAGAAAGATGTAGCTCTGGGCCAGCAGAAGGGCAACAATACCCAGGATCGTAGAGCTCGATCCCTGGACAATCGGCAGACCCAGGGAGTGCAGGGCTTCGCGGACCCGAGCCTTGGGGTTTCGTTTCTTCGAGGACATGTACGTGTAGCAGATGTGGGCGGTGAAGTCCACCGAGAAACCAATGCACATTATCAGGTTGATCATCGATATGGAGTCCAGGTTAACGTCCCACAGGGCCATGTAGCCAGCGACGCCCAGTTCGATGGAGATGACCGAGAAGGCCACCCACAAAGAGCAGAGGATGTTCGGGATGAAGATGAAGGATATGACCATCATAATCAGGGCTCCGATCACCATGGCCTGCACCGAGACGGGCCGCACGAGCTCAAACTGGTCGAAGAATACAAAGTAAGGATGGAAGATCGAGGCGTTCAGGGGCGAGTCTTTGCAGATCTTCCGCAGATCCCGCACCATCTCCTTCTCGTGGTTGGTGTCCGTGATGTTCACGGCCTGGATGAGAAATCGGGAGGCGATGATTTGGGTCTCGTCCTCGTTAAAGCGAACGTCCAGTGAGAAGGGGTTGCCAGGGAACAGCCAGTGCTCCTTCACGGCGTCGATGAAGGACTGCTCGTCGTCCAAGGTCACGTTCAGCAGCTCGTTGTTCCGCTCAAGGAAGGAGAGGAAGGAGCGCAGCCAAGACTCGGTGTACCTCCGAGAGGTCACGTAAGAGGTGTGTTCCAAAGTGCTGGTCAAGTTCTCCACTTGCTCCTGCACCAAAGGATCCGAGTAGTTAAGGGGTCCGGCAATGATAACCTGGAATTTTAGAGTAAGTTAGTCTAACTCCACTTTAAATATCCTGTTCGAGGACAAACCTGCATCCTGTACGGAAACTCGCGGTAGTAGTCATCCTCGCGGTCGAAGAACTCCACCGAGTAGGAGTCTTCTCGAGAGAGCTTGCGCCGCTCCAGGCCCTCCTTGATCTGGGTGATTCCATAGCAGGCGCCCACAAGGTAGCTGGCAAACGCCAGGATGATGATCACCTTGCACCACTTGTTGTTGATCACCGCGGCCAGCTTGTCCTTGAAGAAAGCCATCAGCATGTGGTCCTTGTTGTCGATGGGATTGTCGGGGTCATTGGGATCGATGCCTCCTGCCATGATCGCCTTGTAGAGGAAGTTGCGCTTCTCTGTGCCGGCGAAATAGAATTGGAAACACAAATAAGTAAGTGTGCTAAGACAAGTTCCCATTGACCTCAATTGTGGCCCACTTGCTGTCTGCGAGAGTGACTAGTCTCGTTGCTCGAGCATCATGATCAAGTTCATGCAGCAGCTGGTGGTGCTAAGCCATCGCAACTCCAGCTACTTCAATCCGGTTACGATGCAGTCTACATTTCAAATGTTAGAAAAAGACCTTGTGGCATGAGCACTTACTAATTGTAAACAAAGCTTTATTATAAGCTTAGTTATAGTAACTAATATTGTAACACGCTCGGCGTTTAATTAGTTTTCAAAATTGAAAGTTTTTTTTGTTTCTAAGAAGGGGAATGTTTTGCTGAGTGTACGCTGGTCAAACCAGCTTTGTCATCGGCAAGACTCAATAGCCGCACTCCCAAACGGGTAGTTCACTCACCTTTGATGGCCACCGACATAGGCTGGACCCGGCACCCGAAAATGGAATGCAAATTGCGGCGCTCCCTGTACCCGGAGATAGCCATGCAGGCAGCAAAGAAGGTGATGTGCCACAGGAACGTGAAGCAGACAGCGAAGACCGAGTACGTGCAGAATATCCTCACCGATCGGAAGGGGCTGATGATGCCGATTAGGAACGATATGAAGTCGGTGACTGAGGTGATGGTGATGGAGACCGCCGCCTCTGACATCATGTGACCCATTCGCTCCTGCACCGGCATCTTGGCCTTGGTGCGCCTCCATCCTGCCAACATCACAAACGTGTCATCGATGCCAATACCTTAAAGTTAAATAAATGGGTGTGATAAGTCAAGAATAAGTCCAGAAGATTTTAAAATTCCCTCACCGATCATTAGGAAGGGAGCTGCCAAGTTTATGCCAATAAACTCAATGCCGCAGTACATGGCCAGGCCAAAGGCTGCCAGAGTGGCCATAATGGCTGATACGTTTCCCATGAGACCCAAGAAAGGCTTCGACCGCACGGCGTCACCCATCATGCAGGTTATAACACTAAAAATATTCGGTATACTGAGTTATTCAAAGTTACATTAGGAACTTAGGAGCTAACTTACCTGAAAAGTCCCATGAGCAGGAATGTAGAGCTGAAGTAGGGCACTACTGTCTTGGTGTTCTTCTCCAGTTCGTGGTCCAGAGTTCGAGATGCAAAGTAAGAGACTGAGATGTGCTTGAACTGGCCAGAGTTCTCCGCATGGCCAACCACCCTCAGGAAGGTTTCCTCCCACTCCGCGCCCCTTAGAAAGCCATATCATTAGTTAATATTATTTGGATAGGCCTATAGGTAATTACTTGGCATCCTGGCGCTTCGTATCAGCGGTCACGAAATAGACTAGTTGGATGGCAGGCACACTGATCACATGGTTGTCTTCAGTCAGTTTGGTGCCGCCGAAGAACACGGGGAATAGGTGGGCATCCCAGGTGACCGGATTGAACATGAAGGGGAACGTAAGGTTAAGCTGCCCTGCCTCTATCTGGAAACGTAAGGGATGAGTCAAATGATTGATTCAAATGAGAACACGAAAGTGGGTTTGCAAACTTACATCATCCATTAGAGCGTCCAGATTGAGGATGTCGTTCTCGAAGCACTCGTTTTCCCACCGGGCACAGTTGTCCTTGTACGTGTAGGTGTCGCCATCGTAGGTGGTGGATGCGTTCTGGATGAGGTTGTCCAGCTGGCGCAGCTCCTGGAACACCTCGCGCCGAATCATGTTTTCGTCGCCGTCTTTGGTGACCACAATCACTCGCCCGAAGCGACCTGGAAAAGTCAGACATGTCTTGGATTAGCCATGGTACGGGGGCCAGCAATCGGTTTCTAAACAATCAGTGACTTGTGGACTTAGGCTCGAGGCTGCCGATGGTGAGACGTGACAATAATTTTAATTGAAGTTCAATTGAGTTTGGTTCGGTACATTATATTTCATTTGTGCTCTGCCTGCTCATTTGTCGCACTTCCACTTGATATAAGTCGATTGTTCCAAAGGCTATTCGATTTTAATGCGCCATAACAAATGCAGCCTCGTGTACGAACTTACGTCAGAGGTTTGGTGCGGCTTTTGTTTGGAATACACCTTCAAATGAGCCTACACATGTCTGCAATGTGTTTATCGATATCGTCCAAAAGAAATGATGTCCTAATAAGGGATTTTGGGACCTGAACACTTGAGACTTTGTACCAAACCCACAAATCTCTTTTCTTTAAGTACAAAAACTTTTTGTTATTTAATTAAATACAGGAAAGCCATAAAATTATATTTTATTTGTTTATAATTTTATTATTCGCTATACAATTTATCATTTGTGTCGTCCGTATTTCTTAGTTGTGAATGAACTTGAGACTGGCTGAAATATTCGTTTCCATTAGAAAATTGTGCACGTTTCAAAAGCGCTTACGAATTGAATGCTATTTTTAAGCCAGTGCTCTGAATAAGTGAGCAGTCTCTAAGACAGTTCTAATAGTTAGTTTCGATTGGAAAGAAATTTAAATACTTTATGATGATTATTTTGGCTTCGCTTCAAAGATGATTTTGCTGTTTCCAGTTTTATCTGCGTACTCGTAGGCCGTCACAGTTTGGCAGTTCGATCTGCATGCTTCTTGAATCTGTATCCAAGAAATGCTCTATGCACATCGAGTGCAGTTCCCCAGAATGGGGCCTTTTCGAAACAACTCTGCTACGATGCAGCAGTGCATTTTTATGAGGTTTTCAAAGAAGATGTTTATTGGTTTGCAGCCCATTTTGCTTAAAGCACACGTTTCTCCCATCTTTCCTCGTGCGGTATTGCTAAACTTTCGTTAAATCGTTAAACAGTTGGCTGGAAACTTCGGCTTTAAGTTGCGGGTTTCTTGGATATGGAAATTAACATTTTTTGACATAAAAGTTATTCTATATTATATTAAGTTAATTACCCTGCAGTCTTTACTGACTTTTAAATATTCGAAAAACTTCTAGGAATACATTCGTAAAGTAGCAGTTTTTGTTTTTCTCTAGCTTTCGTTCACTTTCTAATTAATTAATGAGGCTTTATTTTTAATTTTGTGTGTAATAGTTGTTTTCTATCTTTTTAATTAGAAACAATAGAATGAGAGAAGAGGTGGCAGAGAAGAAAGACTAAGGGTATTAAGAGATCGGCTACGACCCCACACCATTGCTGAATATTTTAATAGTAAAATTTCTGCAACTGTTCAAATTTTGATGGCACAATGTCATTTGGCAATTATACGGTACTTTGCTCAAGTTAGCTTTTTCCTTTGTTGTTGCTGTATTTTGAATAAATGTTTCTCGTTTGTTGTAGTTATTGTTGCGGCGGAGGTTGTGGTGGCTTTGCCTAATAAACCATTTAGCCAAGTTAATAGCCTGTGAAACCTAGCCGAGTTCAAGACCCCAATAAAGATAAGTTATTGTGTCTCCATCTGAGATGAGCACTGAAATTATTTATTGCACATTCGAGCTAAAAGTCAGTGCAGGGCCGCGTCGTCGGAAAGGAGATCACAGTTCAGAGAAGAGCCGGGTTTGGGACAGAAAGCATTGCTATGACAACCACCCAGATGCAGAAAGTGTTGCAACTTTGGCTTAGGGTTTAGGGCCACAGCCAATTTCCCGCGTTCAATGATTTTGTTTGCCGACACTTACCCGGCCTCGTAATGCGCCCGACATTAAAGCGGTGCGTATAATTCACTTTGAAGTACTGCTCGACGATGGCCCGCTCCGTCTTGCCCTCGCCCGCGATCGGCGAAAACAGGTACTCCGGATCGATTTGGTACTTCAGCTGCTGGTAGCTGTCAAAAGAAATCAGGCCTAGTTGGTTATTTTCCCAGAGCTGGGCTTGGGTGTTTACTCACCCCGTCATGCAGAGCAGCGTCAGCAGCACCGGGATGATGATGAAGTACCCGGGGTGCTTGGCTATGCAGATCCCCAGGTGGTAGAATGATTTGTTTAGTGTCCGGTCGACACATGATATGCCGCAAGTCATCTGCAAAGAGTACAGGTATAAAAACATATATTAAATGCCTTTTTTATGAAATATTAACCATTTAATGTTTTATTCTCTTCGAAATTAACTCCCAGCACTAGGATGTCGTGCTCTATGGGCACCGATTTGTACGGTGAAGGTGAAAATAAAACATTAGGCAACGGCAAGATTAAGGTTTTTATTATATATATTAGTATCGCCTAATGTATCTACGTTGCCGTGTCTGTTTGGCTTTGTTCATAGACACCTTCAACTTAAACTTTAGACACGCATTGTTTTTGCTCGCCTCACTCGTGCTGCTGTTTGCCTAAATGAATCTCAACAAGTGCCCTTGTTTGTGTCTCACAACAAAACGAGATGGAGAACAAAATCGCTTAAAAACATTTACAAGGAAACCCCTAATAATGGTCATTAAAACGATTAAAGAAGTCAAGTACATACCAATAACATTTAATGGCAATTAAGTCGTTGTTAAAACAGAAAATAATAATCACCAAAAAGAGTAGCGCAGGGGAATCGGTAGCAAAAATATTAATCCGCCCCCGGGTGGACTCGAACCACCAACCTTTCGGTTAACAGCCGAACGCGCTAACCGATTGCGCCACGGAGGCCACGGAGACGCTCCAGCAGCAAAAAAATTCACAAGTCGCTTGTCAAGGCGGCGGTCTTGCCATCTAAGTTCTAGTACGGCAAGCGACGCGTCAGAACACATCGCCTCCGTGGCGCAATCGGTTAGCGCGTTCGGCTGTTAACCGAAAGGTTGGTGGTTCGAGTCCACCCGGGGGCGTGATTACTTTTTTTGAATTTTTATAACAATTTCTTTATTAGTTTGCCATTAATAAAATATTTTAATAATACAAAAAAAATTAATTTTTTTAAGAAGAGATCAAAGGAATAATTTCATGCTTTGATTTTTAAACTGTTTGTTATCTATAATACAAAGTGAAAAAATTACTTTTCATAACAGGAACGTATGTCACAGAACATAACAAACAAAAGTAATGAGCATATGTATTTAACTAAATATCATAAATTAGGTGTTCGAGTTTCCATTGGGGCGGACATACATAACGTACTTAGGACTGACTCCCCCAAATCTATTAGCTGTCAAACGATATTTCCTTCCCTGAAACAAAGATTAAAGTTATGAAAAGCACTTTATGTTTTTTGCACTTCCCAAGCTGCGCAATTAGTTACGGCCATTTGTCATGCCAAACACAGTTTGTCAAGCCAATTCGGGCGCATAGGCATTATGAATATCTGAGCACTGAGGATATCGGACCTAACATGAATAGAACATTAGCATTGGCATTCGTTTCCAGTTAATAGCCGCCGCCGACAGCCGGTGAATGGAAAAGCGTACCTGCCCATAAGGAAGACATTTCGAATATGTCCATAGTTAGGCAGCAATTACAAGCGTGGCGGATGTCATCGCGCTTCTAAATATTGGACCACTTCGATTGCGCCACGTCCGAGCACTGAACTTTAACTCATTCCAAATTCTTCGCTGCATGCGAGGCTGAATGCCAAATAATTAGATTTTGCGAGCAGCCAGACACCTGAAGACTAAACAAGTTTACTTTCCATTTTTTCCGGACATGTGTCCAGTCAAACTGACGTTGCACTTTTACCAAATTTTGGCAATCTTGTTTTGCTTTTCGTACGGTAATCGCTGCTATTACAACACGGCTAAGGTGGGCACTGCGGCCCGAGCCTAGGCCGAGCTCGCAAAATTGAGTCATGCCGTCGTCTCAAGGTTACAGCTCTGACTTCCACTCCAACTGTAACTCCGACTCTAACACCTACTTGGCTCCGGCCGTGTGTTGACATAACGGTTCATTGTGTCAAAGTGATTTAATAAACAACATGGTCACTCTCGCACCCTCCCACCATCGTCCCAAGCAAACACTGTTTGGGAGGCGTGCTTGCGCCCAGTTTTAACTGTTTGTTTATCAGCCCACCTTTTTTTGGTGTTTGGTTTTTGGATGGGAAGGTAACCTTTTACCTTTTGGGACAACATATGATTTTTGGCATAATTTTTTAAAACCAGCCTAGTTTCTTCCTAACAATATTTCACCTGCACCTTAGTTTTTGTACTAGCGTGGATGCAATAACGATTTACCGTTCAAAGTTCCAATAAACAAACATTTAAATGGCTGAAACACAAAAACAGCTCTTAGCTCAACAGCCAGGCCACAAAACAGTTTTGTTAACATTTTTTCGAACTGGATGATGCACAAGTATTTGCGCAGAGTCGTAATGGAACAGATTGTACCCTGTCTCGTGTGGAGTGGTCTTGCGGGACCCAACACCTGTCGCCCTGACTCTGACAGCACTAATCTGCAATCAAGTCCCCTCCGCTGAATGAATAACGCCACGTAGTTATGCAAAATGAAGAGAGTTTAAAATAGATGTTGTACAACATATCCGGCGTCCGATTCGGTCCAAAATCGCCTAATGAACTTTAAATATTTGTGTCGCAAGTTCGATGGGGCCTAGGCCCCGAAAGCCGACTCATCAACGCTTCAGTTTTCATAATAAACTTGGCTCACTTCTTCGCCGAGCCGATGACGTCGGTTGAACGACGTTGAATGACTCAAAACCCCCCATCGATACAAAGTGCAACATCATCTATTTACCCGTGTAGTTGCTACGATTAAAGCACATTATGAAACTGCAGTCACAATATTTTCGATTAATTTTCGCTTGAGGCAGGTGGCCTCAGAGCACCTTCGGCAGGTCCAAAATGCGTGCCTCGAAAACCGATTTGCGACCGGCAATACCCTCCCCGAAAGCTGTCAGCTCGGGTGATGGAAGCGAAGAATTTTGAGTGGGTTCCGATTTTTTACATAATTTGTAGGTCACCTAATGTCGGTTCGCGGTGAATTCTTCGCTTTTGGCAACCCAATTTTGTCATGAATATATATGAGTGTTTTTATGAATGTTTAATGTTCAGCATGGGCTTGGAATGCGAGTCAAAAGCTTTTACATTTTGGCTCGTGAAAGTTGCTGACCAAAATAAGTTCGTCGCTTCGATCTTTCGATTGTTGTCTTTAGTTTCTGTGCCGGGCAATTTCACGTTTTATTGTTTAGATTTCTGTTGTTTAGCTTTTTTCGAATTGATTTTTCTATTTGGAAGCTGTATTCGCATATTAATTCCCCGCCCATCTTTGCGTCAAAGTAAAAGTAGAACTCCTGGACCCACTCGCCTGTGGATTTTACCCAATTTGGCCCAAATGGGGCCAGTTCTGAGAAATTAAAAAGATGGAGAGGCTGCACCAGTTCGTTGACGCGTTTTCGTCACTGCAATAATCCGAGTCCGCGGGACCGGGCTTACATAACTCCCTGCTTGGTCCAGCCCCGTTTAGATGTTTGTTGTTGTCGACATTGCCTGGCTTAAAAAATTTATATAATGCATATTTACAGGCAGAAAAAAGAAGAAACAGGAGGCCAAAAAGAGCTAAACAAAAATTGATTGCGAAGCGGGCAAAACCAATGCAAACTTTTGGCGAGTTTTTCTTTTCGAGCCAGTCAACAACTTTCACTTTTGTGCGTCGCGGGGCACAAAGCAAAACTGCCGAGAAATTACAAAATTAATATTAATTAATATTTAAATATATTTTGCAAATGGAATCTCGTTTTATGTTTTTCATTCCATTTCAGCCGTCTGGTTTTCTGTTTGATGGGTTTAGCCCCAAAATAATTTGGGTCAAGTCATTGAAGTAGAACTCAAGATTCGATATGTGACCTTTGCACGTGGGCGTAGCATATTGGCAGAAACATTTTCAAATCACTTTTGTCAACATGGCTTAAGCCTATTTGTGTTTTTGAATATGAATTTGGATATGGCGACTTTTTTATTTTTTCTTCGACCAGCACTCGGCCAACTGAAAAAGGTCTCTTTCAATTGAAGCCGATTGCCAACAATTGTTTGCAATGAATGTTAATTAGTTGGCTTCGAGGCTATCGAATTAACATTGATCGCACTAACTGTTTTTGACTGCCGACTGTTTTGGGCGAGGGACTGAAAGCCAGGCAGGTTCTGGCTCGCAGCTGGCAGAAGCCAAGTCGAAATTCACTTTCTACTCTCGAGCGCCTTATGACCGATCCGAGCATAGTCACTGAGCTGGCCGGGATACTCAAGACGCATGCGCTCAGCCCGGAACTGGGTCACTCTCACACACACAAGCATTGGCAACACACACACACACACGCGGTCGCTTTCAATTTGAATTCAGCTTTTTGATTTGTTTGCATTGCATTAATTAACCATTTACCTGGCGAGCTGCTGAAGAAAACGCTTTGGTTTCGGGCTTATCTCGCTTTGTTTAGTCACCGATCTGTGGGTCAGTGGAACAGGCTCCGAAAGTATCTCAATCTGATTTCATTCATCGAAACTGGCTCGAGATACAATGGGACGGAAATGAATTAACTGTTTACTAGCCACAAAATGAATCTGTGTGATTACAATAATTACTCTTCAATCGAATTGAAGACCTATAGCTTTATTGCCTTAGCTTTAGCATTCCATCCATTACTTGCCTTTATCGTCAGAGCCATCTTAGAACTCATTTAAGCTAAACTATGCAGTAATTTTGTTTAAACGCTTTGGTTAGAATTAATTGAGCGGATAATGCCGTCGTTTGTTTAGCGCATACTTTCTCGCTCACTTTTACTAGCTCGGCTCGGATTCACTTTCCTTGGAAATTAGTTAATTATGACAGAGTTTTCCTGCCATCAGCCCCGGGTTAATAAATCAACCAATTGACATACTGGCGACGGCAAAAACTCTCGTGAGCCGAACGACAAAAAGTCTAAAACAAACGCTTCGAGAGGAATGGCGGCGAAGTAACAAAGAGAAAGAAGCGACGAAGAAAGAAAAAGAAAGTGCAAGGCTGATCGCATATCATATGTACCGCACACGTACATTCATACATGTGTTTCTGATCTATGTATTAGTGGGTACACTTTTTGTAACGGCATTTCTGAACTCAAACCAGCTGTGAGCTTCTGAAGAGAGCGAGAGAGAGCTTGGGAGAGCCCACTTTTCCTTTCAAGCTGCCCCGCCCCCCAACGGTTAACTGTAATTAGTTTGCCCGATCAGTTAGCAAAATGGCCAGTACCCAGTGCCTAATTCAGGCAATAGGCTTCGCATTTTCACAACCTCTGTCGCTAATCATTTATGCAAACACTGATTTATAGCTTGAGCTGGAAATTAGCAAATTATGGGCTGCTTGAGGTGTTGCTAATTAAAAGCTGTGAATGATTAATAGAGCGATAAAAGTGATTCCTGGGTAATTGGCCGATCAGGAGCAGCCATTTCCCGTAGTTCGGAGGTGGCAGGCTACCTGCATGGCTTGTGTGTTTGTCGACGCAGGCGACCTGAACCGATTCGAGCCTACCTGGGCCCAAATGGCATTAGTGGTGCAACTGTACGCTCTGTATCTGTAACCTTGAGCATAATTGAAGCCGCCTTTTCAAAATCGATTGCCATCGATTGGTCCATCTTGACCGTTCAACCGGTTTCGTTTAGCCGCGATTTTCACTTGAATTTTCATTAACTGGGCCGAGAAACTCCCTCGGTTATGTCCGCGGTCCAGTGTCAGGTCCAATCCGGCAACCGGATCACCAGAGTTCAGTTTATGTAATCACTCTTGCCTCTGGGTCGGATCCACGATTTCTTTCGAGGGGCGCTGTTGGCCAATGTTTGCTTTTGGATGCTTTCCTTGGCCATTTTCCTTATACACGTCATCGGGGAATGGGTGTCTGATCCATGACCTGTTTTGTGCTGCTCAGGTGTTTGACACTATAATTGTAACTGTAGCTGCTCTCGATTCGAGTTGCATGGTTAGGTTGTCAAAATTTGTGAGTTTCTTTGTCGACTGCCGAGCAGCTTGGCGGTCCGAACCCGAACTCGAGTTGGACTTGGCACCGGGTCGGAGTGGCAGATAATTGTTGCAATTGCAATCGGAGTGAGGAAAAAACGACAATTAGCTTTTACTGCTGATGCAAATGGAGCCACACTTGGCCACCAACTCGATCGAAATTATTCGGATGAATTGCCCCTAAAGTTAAAAATGTTCTGTATGCTCGCTTTTGTCATTAATTAAATGTCTTCCCTCCAACAAAGCCCGACTAATGCGGTGAATTACCGAATCCATTTATCGTCTGTTGTCATAAATACTGAGTACACCGCAGTTTTTAGAGGAAATACTTAAAAATAAATCATTTTTGAACAATACAAGGTACAATGTACCATCTCCAATGGTATAGGACAAAGTCCTCCCTTAGGTCAACAACTCTGCAGAGGATTTTCAACTACGCACATTCCAGAAAACATTCGAAAACGCAATTGCCTCCTGAAAATTTCCTGTGTCAAGACTAAATCAACCCTCTGAGTGACAGCCCCGGGTGGAAAATTGCGCATTTATCTTTCAGGAAGCTTCGAGGCAATGAGCACTTTTGCTTACCGTTATGTTTTTTTCGTTTCTCGTTCAACGCAATATCCAAGATTTCGCTTCCTTCGCAGTATTATTTTGAATTCGTATCCAAGACAAATTTTTGATTGTTAGCCCTTCAGTAGCACTTGGCTAGCTCCGAAATTCGAAAGTGAATTTCTTAATATTTAAAAAATTGCACACTATTTGCACTAGGTTGGGCCATCTTTTTTTGTATCGTGTTACACCTGGCGGCGGGACCGAATCGAAGCGAAAATATATCTCGGAGGTGGAGAAGGAAAACCGAACGGAAGCGGAGCGACGCGGTGACCGCTGTCTTTGGGACCGTCTCTCAGACTGAATCGGATGCCGAGATTTGGGTTGAGGCAGAGACTGCGAGTGCGGATCACGGATTACCGACTGCGGATTACGGCATTCCCCTTACGGCTTACGTTGCCGCTTACGCACGGCTACGAAATTTCGAATTCAGTGACCGTTAAAACGCCGATCGCCGTCGTCCATCCACTCTGGAATTCGCTTTGTTCGGCGATGTTTCTGGGTGCTGTTGCTCACTTATGGGGCGCCACCGAAGGAAAGACGGAAAGAAAGTTGCGCGCACACAACCGCCGCGCTCGACGTAGCGGAATCAAGTGAGGTTTACGTCGCAGCCGCCCGACACTCGACGCTCTTGCTGCGCTCAGCTTCTAGGTGGCTGCGCTCTCACCTGCCGCTCACCTGGCTCTCGCTCCGTCTCGGAATGCACCGCTTTGAAGCGGTTCGCACGATTTTCGGGAAAAATCGCCTCCCCGCCGGTCCATCGAATACCTGTTTCCATCCACAGGTGTGCTCGCGTTGTTGTTGGTGCCGTCTGAAGGTCGCATTTTCGCTCATTAATCGCTACTTTCTTCTGCGCCTGCGCAAAAGATTTTATGGGAATTACCGTCGCGGCTTCAGGTGAATTTCGACAGGGATTTTATGGGTATACTCGCGGCCCTGAAGTATACGATTTCGTCTGAATTGCGACTATCCTAGCCACCGTGTAAGCCATGCGGAAATGTTTGAGATCGCTGCTAAGATGGAGAATGTTGGTAGAAATGGTGGTCCACTTCCAACCATATACATATTTCATTCTGAGTCGTTCTTTAAATCAGTTTACGATTCTTACATTGTTTTCTAACTAGAATTTTCTCGTTTGCATATTTCTCTGTGAAACTTCCACCGCTATTCAAAGCTATAAGTATTCATAGTCAAAACTCCTATTTTTAGTTAAACTTTTAAACTTTAAGCTATAACTTTATATGCAAACTTTAACTCAAGCGCATAAAAAGTGGCTCATAGTATTTTGTAAAGGTGGATCATCTAAAATGTATGTTTTTAAGTGCTGCAAAAAAGTCCCGCTCATATTTCAAACTTGTGTTTTTAAATTTTTTGTTACTTTAAAAAATTTGGTACAGAATGTAAGAATAAATTTTCAGTCAGTTATTTCTAAGGTTATTCCTCAACGCTTAATTACTTGGTGTATGGCATTTCCACCTCAACATTTAGGATATCCATATGGTAGGATTTTTGAAATATTTGTAGCGGATCAAGTAAAATAGGTTAAAATTCTTTAAAATGTATTCGAAATCAATCTATTCTTAAATTCTATACATTTATTTTCAAATAATATTTTCAAATTCATTATAGACACAAAGATCCATTGCAGTGATCTCGTGTTTGTTTGTGTGGAATATCCGAAATCAAAGAATTTTATAGTTTTTTTTATATTTTATTAGGATCTTTGATATTTGGTTTTGCATAAAAAGAAAGTGCTTGATGGGTTATGACTCAAACTTGATAAAAAGTCTACTGAAAAATGCCACAGAAGGTTCAAGCTGTAGAAAACGTCTCCAGCAAAGCGTCCGCATTCTAGAAAATTGTATCCCGTGCGTCATTTGCTGAAATAAATAAAAATCTTAAAACTATGCGCCATAAAATGAATTATAATACAGGCGACTAATTTTCCCTGAAAAAAACGTCTAATTCACAAAAAACGGCGTGGAAAATACTGAGCGTCTGACAGAGCCCGGGTGAAGTGCGAAGAGGACAGGTACACAAATATTACGGCTGAGAATTTAAGCGGAAATTTTAATAAAAATCATTTACAATTTATTTCAAACAGAGAAAAGTGAACACAAACAGTGCCAGAGGCAGAGGCAGAGCACTGCAGAGGCGCGATAAAAATATCTCTGGACACACACACCAAACCGGAATATATATGGATATATAGAAATATAGATGGGCAGGCGCAACAATGAACTATTGGAAGTATCACGGGAACGGGAGTGGATACGGCGATGCCCGTCCGTATACTTACTATAGTCGTATGTGTAGTAATGTCAGCCGAGCACGTTCAACTCGGCCGAGGAGGATCGGGTCGGGTAATTGAGCAGAGTAGGTGGGCAAGTGTTGAATTCAATTCTGGGCAATCAAGCTCTGAGATCTACATGTACACCAGCACACACTAAGTCCAGCATTAACACGGTCCTCTGTTCACTGTTCACTGTCCGTTGGCCGTTGTCCGCTGTCCGGAGTCCGTTGTTCAAGGCGGCAACGGCAACATTAACGAGTCTTATGATTGGCTTCTGAATTACGATTATACACTGCCCGAACCGGGGATGCCTTTCGAGGGTCCTGGAACACTATTCCGTGGGTGCGCAGCTGTGAGCTCGATCTCGTAGTAAAACAGGGCCAAGAATTCGCGCTGCTGAACCAATTGAGACAGGTTCTGAATCCTCCCGTATTGTCTTGCCAAGCTGTAAACCACGTAGACGATGACCACATTGGCCGCCATCAGGACGATAAGCAGCCACTCGCAGGGTTCGACAAGGTCCTTCTTACTAAGATGCTCCACGTAGCGCGTGTACGTGTCCTTGCTGACCGCCAGGAACATTAAGAGTAATAACACCGTCAGCAAGAAGTCCAGCCTGAAATCACACATTCTCACAAGATTCTTTATGTATTCTTCTGGAATTCAATTATGCTCCTTGCTCTACAAATTTCTCCCAGTGTAACCCGGTCTGCTAATTCAATTTAAAGCTCATTTGAAGCCAGTCTTAGAAAAGGCAATGCGAGGCTAATTGCGCTTTTTATGCCCTAAGGCGGGAAACTTAAAGAACTTGTATTTGTAGCATGGACATAAAAATGAGCATTTAATAATAAAAATAAACTTGAAAGGAATGTTTCAACCTTCCACTTATCAACTGATGCTGACTTTTTACTAAAATAATTTTACTGAGATACTGATTCTGAGTTATGAACAGATGTGGGATCTTTTGAATTTTGGATTATGTTTGTAAATAGGTATAGTTTTTTCTCAAATAGAAAAGTACATACACTATTGGTAACATAGGCCATAATATACATTAGTGACCATCGACGAGCTTCGATCTCATGCTTTTGGTTCCATGCCTTATTATGCTAAAGTCATACCTTAAAAAAATGTTTGATTAAAATTTAGAGTTGCGTATAATCCGGTTTTAAATTATAACTAAAAATGCCTTAAAAATTATTATTACTAACAAAAAATCATTGGAAATAAGTCAAAGTTGAGAAATAAGTAAAGATAAAAAAGCAAAGTAACCATTTTTCAAATCTTTAACATCTTTGATAAAATCACAACATTGACTAGAATAAGTTTCACACATTCGCAGGCTGATTCAACAATTCAACAAAACTGGGAACCTTTTTTTACGTAGGATGCAGTTGTTGACCTGAAATCTTTGGATTTTAAATATTGGTATCATTACACTATCTGAAAGTTTTAGGATTTGCTTATCTTTGCGGCCTTTCCCTTGATTTAATAGAGGTATACGAATTTGGCGTGTTATACAACATGAGATATGACTTATGACTTAGAGCTATTCAGATCAAAAGATGTTGAGCAATAAAACTTCTATTAATATATATGATCTTAAAACAAATAAATCTGAAAATGTCTCAATAATAATCGATTTTAATATTTATCATAAAATAACTTCCTTCGATTGAATGCATTTTAGTTTTTGAGTAAGAATATCACATTTAAGTTGTAAGCGCTTCGTACGCTTTTCAACACTAAAAGTTAACACGTTTGACACACAGTTGACACGGTAATTGGAGCCAAGTTTCCTTTGGAGAGCACTTCCGTTTTTAGATTCGAAACTTTGCAACAGATTTATTATACCAAAAAAATATTTAAAAAAAAAAAATTAAAGAGGATTTTTTTAAGTGAAACAAAATAATTTTTTTAATAATGTCTTACTTACTCACATTTTATTACAAAAAGTTAACATTTAACAGGCTAACTTTTTTGAATTTTTCTTATCAAATATTTTTATTTTTTTTATAAACCATTTCTTTGTTATTTGAATGGCCTGCTATTATAAAAACTAATTTTTAAATTTAAATAAACAATATAACAACAATTCTTCACAAGCTTAAGCCGCTTCACAACACTAGAATCTGTGGCGCTTTGGCACTTGATAGCACCCAACTTCACTTTGTCTAACACCACTTCCTTTCTATTTCGTGATTCAAAAACGTTCCTTCCCAATTTAAAGAATGTTGTGCAACTTTAATCTGCAGGCCAAGGTCGTGTTGCAGCCCCTGGTTCTGTTCCAGATCATCGACTCCTACGATCGCCGCCCAAAGGATGCCACACAGGTTTGTACCAAAAACTATGCTTCCACAGCTCTGAGACTGCAATCTCCACCAGATCATCGGCACCCTGCTTGGTCGCTCTTATGGCAGGGAGGGTCATCGGAACTATGAGATCACTATCACCAACTGTTTCACGGTGCTGCACAAGGAGCACCCGGACAGCGCACGCATCGACCTGGACTTGGGCTACGCCAACGACATGCTGGAGCTTAACCAACTGACCTATCCTCAGGAAAAAGTGCTGGGATGGTTCTCCACAGGCAAGTCTGTGTCGCGGTCGGCACTTCTGCTCCACGACTACTACTCCAGGGAGTGCAGCGATGGGCAGCCACTGCACCTGCTGGTGGATGCCACCCTCAAGGGGCAGAGGCTGTCGACGCGCCTTTACTGCGCCGTGGAGATGGGCGTGCCCGGGGGCACAAAGGGCCTCATGTTCTCCTTACTCCCACTCGAGATGGCCAGCGACAGCCCCGAAATGGTGGCTTTGCGCCTGATGCAGAAACAAAACCTGCAGCCTGGTCCTAAGCAGGTGGGTCGCATTCTGCCCGAGCTGGTACAGGTGGTGGAGGCCACGCGGGAGCTGCAACTGCGCCTGGACTTGGTGCTGCGCTACATCAACGATGTGCTGGCCAGAAAACGGAGGCCGGACAATGTGGTGGGCCGGGCCCTGCACGACACGCTTACCTCCGTGCCCTTGGTGGATGCGGACAACTTCAAGCTTATGTTCAGCGCCAGCGTGCGCGACATGCTGATGGCCATCACTCTTTCCACGATGATCAAGACCGAGTTGCAGATTAGCGAGAAGCTTTTTGGCATGCCTGAACCTTAGAACCCTTAAGACACTCACTATATGTAACCTTTAATCAATAAGATTAGCATTCCCGGTCATTCCTGGACCAGGTTACCCGCGTTATCAACTGTTTCCGAGGGCAAGTAAATAATCCACCGATGTCTAGCGCAGAAGCGGGCTTATCAGCTCCAGCTGATCACTTTCTTTTCTAAATAGGCTGCATTTTCTAGACTCTTCCATGTAGCCCATATAAAATATAATTAGAAATACGAACTACCCTCGTTCCTCTAAACTGATTAATCTATATTATAAATTATACATTATTATTATAATATAATCTATATTAACAGAAGAATTTTCTGTTTTTAGCATTTGATGTATTATTTCGATTAGAAATGTAATTCAAGCAAAGATATAACACCTTTTGGGAACTTTAAAAAGAGTTCTGTTCATAACATGACTTGATAGAAAGGATCTTTTTTTTCCTCATGGAGGCCTTATTCTGAAACTTATTCTGAAAAAAAAGGAAACTTTTTATGAAAAAATATATTAAAACATTTAATGTATCAAAGCCTATTATTTATAATGGCTTTTATATTTTATAAAATGTTTATGTACAGCAAAAAAACATTCCTAAATATTCTTATTCTCTATATTTCTGATTAAAAATTCGGGGAAAAATAACCAGAATGGCTAGTCATGGATGAATGGACTTTGGAAACTTCCAGGCACCATCTAAAAGTCTTGATAATGAGATCGATTCAAAAACAAACGGTTTGATAGAGGCTTCCCCCATTGAAGTCGGGGTGACGTAATGGGAAACCCATTAAAAATTATCCAATTTGAATGCGAATTTCGAGTTATCCGAATTTTTGGGTCCTTCAAAAAAGATGGCCAAAAGTGTTTCGCCGGTATTCCGACTCCTTAAGCCATTTTTTGGCACCGAAAGTTCGCCGTGAATACAACAACTAAGAAGGAACTGGGAAACCCTCTGGGATTAAGAAGATCGCGACAAAACGGCGATAAGAAAGCAATCTACTCTGCCCCGATTGATTCACGGGGAAGAGGGGTCCAAGGGGATCTTCTGGACCACCCAAATAACAAGAAGATAAAGCCTTATCGCGGTTCAGGGACAATAGACGGTTGTCCGCCAGGGTAATCAATTAGCAGGCACCAACTGCAAATTAGCAAACGTTGACGCTGATAGTCGATAGTGACCCCCACCCTCGGACTCTCAGTGGTCTCAGAGTCCCCCGTCCCCTTCGCAGATGCTGCTCCGCTGCTGCCCCGCCCCGCAGCCAAACCGACGCCGCCGGGCACTTATCGCCCAACCCAAGCCAAGGGCTATCGGAGCGCTAAGGTCGCCCCTTCTGATAGCCATCGCCATTAGAAGCGGCTATGTTCCGAATCGGATCCGCTCGGCCCGGACGGAATGGGCAACGGAACGGAGCCCTCAGACGTCCAGCGACCGGCGAGCTGATCAGACGCCACTCGAAAAGTATTATGTTGTCGTTGCTGAAGCTACACCACCCTCTGGTCTGCCGCTGCTGCCTGCTGGAGCAGCCGCCTCTCTACCACACCATCCACGATGCATCCAGCAGCCTGGCCGCGGAGTTGCGGGCCCTGGCCCCCGCCCTGCGTCTAGAGCAGGGCGACGGCCTCACCGACGTCATTTGCGACCTCTGCCTTCGACGCCTCCACGATGCCAGGGACTTCCAGCGTCGCTGCGAGCAGTCGGAGCAGGTCCTTCGCCAGCGACACGACCAGTGGAAGCGGTCGGTGGCTGCCGGAGACGCCCTTGCCCTGGACGACGTCCTCGAGTGCCTTGAAAGAGAGGTGGGCTGTCTGGAAACCGCGTCCCAAACTGTGCAACCGCTCAAGCCCGTAGCATACGTGGCTCCTCTTACGGAGGCCGTTGATTTCGGTAAGCTTTAGTTATTTTTGTTCAGTCTATTATTGAGACATATTCGTCCAACTCCAGGCTTCACATACTGGAGGGTGCTGGCTTTGAAAGACAAGGGAGACTGGGAAGGCTGCCTTATCAAGAATGTATTTATTTTGAGAAAACACAAAGTATTCTTGATAAGCATATTTCGGACTTGGGAGTATTAGGATTGGTAGTCATATTATTAGAGATCTTTTATTATTAACTATTAACCATTATCTATTATCCTAAAATTGAAAAATAAATAAAAATAATAATATTGCTCATTATTCTAAAAGGTATTCAATTATTCAGATAGGGTATTAAAGTAGATTCTAATTTTAACAAAAAAATAGGAAAATATTTTTTTTTAATTATTATATTGTACTTAGAGCGACTAAAATCATGTTTAAAATCCATTCTAGTTGAAAGAAAATAGTACTCGAAACTAGAGTCTAGTTTGGATCGCCAAATACCATTTTTTTTACTAGTTTTCATTCTCTATTTTATATTATTATTCCTTCTAAGAAACACCTAATAAAAATTTATTATTTTCAGATAATTTAGACTTTCATGAGAGTCCACCAAGCCTATATGAGCTTCCATCAGCCCCTTGGGTGAGCACGTTGGATGCCGGCAGTCTGAACACCCCTATGCACCAGCCGGAGACCCCCGACGCCATTTTAGAGGCTGGCAACGATCAAACGGGGAATGAGTCCTCCAAGGATCCCACCCAGGAGGGAGCAAAGAAACCAAAGATGCGACGGACTCGACCCCGTCCGGAGGGCCCGAAGGCGAAAGCCGAAAAGGAGAAGAAACCCAAGTCGCCGCGATCGCTGCACCCGTGTAGCGAGTGCGAGAAGAAATTCACCAGGAACTTTCAGTTGAAGTTGCACATGATCGCGGTGCACGGAATGGGCGAGATGCGATACCAGTGCGAGGACTGCCGCAAGACCTTTGCCTCCCGGCACAGTCTGCGGTACCACGTGAAGTCGGTGCATTCCACGGAACGGCCCATTGGCTGCCCGCACTGCGACCGGCGCTTCGTGCTCCGCACCCAGCTAATATCCCACCTGCGCACCCACACCGGCGAGGCCAAGCCGCGCATCTTCTCCTGCCCGCGGTGCACCAAGTTCTGGCCCACCAAGTCCGACCTGCGAACCCACATGCGGAGCCACAACCCCACCCAGGACCGGCCTTTTAAGTGCGACAGCTGTCCCAAGTCCTTCTTCACCCGCGGCCACCTCACCTCCCACCTCCTGGTGCACACGGGGGAGAAGCCATTCGGGTGCGAATACTGCGACAAGCGGTACCAGAGCGTGGGCAACCTGAACAACCACATGGTGCGCCAGCACGGAGACATCATCGAGGCCCAGCTGGGGATGGAGCCCATCGAGAGTTGATGAATGGGTTAACTCTCCACGTGGGGCTGGGGTTGGGATTCAGCTATCGCATCCGCAACCGGAGGACAGGCTGAACAAAGTATTAGGGACTTTCGCGTAACACCAACACGCGGATTGCAAAGTGCAAAATATTTATTATTCAATACTCTATTTGCCTAATCAAGCTTACTAATTTTATAGAGTTATAGCCGAGTTTCGAAGTATCGGTTTTAATGAAGAATAGTTTCTTCCATTATAATATAAGAACCTTTTTAATAATTCATGAAAATGAAATAAACGTTTGTTTACAAAATGAATTGAGTGATGATTTAAATTTGATTTTTCTTTGAATTGTTCGAATTTTATACTTTTATAATGCGATAATAAAAATAGGAAACCAGGCAAATATTTTAATGAAGTCCTTGGGCTTCATAATTCCTACAAATATTTAAAATATTTATGAAAATAAAAGTTTCAAGGCAACATATAATTTAAGGGGTAACCTAGAGCTAGATATTGTTGCGCAATTAAATATTTGGCAAACATTTCCAGGTCCCTCCATCCAACCACCTTATCAGCCGCCTCAATATCGCAGCCGCAAACGCGATCTTGGGCCGCTTGTGCCGCTCGTGGCGATTGCCAAACGGAGCTCCGACTAGCGGAGCGGGAGAAAGCCATCGAAAAAATAAAAACAAAAACAAACCTAAACGAAAAAGAAATAAAAAATTTGAAATAGAAATCGTGCAGAAATGCGGTATCAAAATCAAAACAAAGCTAAAAATATTCAATGACAAAACATACTCAAAGTTAATCTATTAAAAATTATTTGCACCTTTAACATTTTTTAGTTTATTTATAATTAGGAGATTAAAAATAAAAAAATATTTCTAAAGGCCTTACTGAACAGTTATTGTAGAACAATTATTCCACAATACGATTCTTCTAATTATTTTAAAACTTAAGCTAGTAAAAATATAGGATATAGTATTGAAGATTTTCGATATTTTGAAATGTGTGTCTATATGGTCATCAATCAAATAAATACTTCTATAAAGCCACCAAGGATCGAGTACCAGGTTATAACTCACATCGGAGCTTATCGCCAATCGTCTCTGGTTCCGTCCGTCTGAGAACAAGTACGTGCACACTTGATGGGATCGCCAATTAAATGTGAACACAAATATATTAATGTTAAGAAAACGCGATTAATGGAGAGGGGCCAGCGAAGGGTCGACTCGCGGCAAGATTGTATAAAAAGCGCAAGTAAAACTTTCCAGTATATTATACAATGATGGATTGTTACATTCTTTTGAACTTTGATGTACTCCATACACTGTATTCGGAATTACTTTTATTGGTTTTTGGTTGTTTTGATTTGCGAAATCCCAAATTTTAAATTAGAAATCATATTTGAAATGTGGTTTGTTTGAATTTATTTACTTTGGACTGTTAAACTTAATTTTATCTCAAGTTTAAAGAAACAGTGTTTTGGTAATATTTAAATCTTGAACTTAAGTACATATATGATCCTTAATTAATTTAATAAAATTTTGTTAAAAAGGGCTTGAGCTTGTTTTTACATATATAGGATTCATACTATCTATTGGATGAAACAATAAAATATTATAACTTGGGGAATCCCAGAAAATGGTATAATTTAACTATAAAGAAACATGCTAAATCCGGGCTAAGAAAAATTGCATTTTCTCAAATCAAAATGAAAGAGGCTTGCAAATGAAGATGGAAAGTGGGCGCTTGAATAGGTCGCTGAAGCATTCAAATCATACAGCATACAAGGGTTTCAGACCGACTCATACTTTTGATTGAATAGCACCAACACTTCCTGGGTTTTTCGTCGCGATTAGTCACTCGACATTCTCAGCCAACGGGAACGTGATGCCTTGAGGCTGGCCAGACATTGACCTAATCAAGGATTTTGTACCAGGCTACGTGCCGGGGGCTTCTGTGCGTACTGGGTGTGGAGCTTCTCAGTAAATAACGGATACTCCATCGACCCAAGATCTGTTTACAATAACTTCCTCGAGCGCTCTCTGTGTGTTTAAGGCTGGCACGCATTGTTATCATCTCGGTTTGGGATGAAGATCGACAAACAATGAACACTCATATCTGTGGGGTCAGTGGTCATTGGTTTTCTGTGACACAAAATTAAAAATAATTCTTAAATGGATGCGATTAGGGAGACCCATCGATCTATTTCTGTTTGATGTGATTTTCCGATATACATACATACATACTTGGATGAGGTATAATCGCCCGAATCCACTAGGTCAGAAACCCAAAAGATCGTTCATCAATCCATAATATTCGAGACTCCTCACCACCTCCGTTGAAAATAAATGTTAATATTTTAATGCATTTTATTTACATAAAACCAACAACAATGAATATATACAGAGACACTTTTGGGACTCAACAACCGCCTCCACCTAGACCGTCCCGAGGTGACCGGTCGAAGAGCAGGCGTCCCATCTGCACCTGCTGCTGGGCGTACGAGTTGAGGACAGGAGGGTCCTGGCCTGCGGTGCCCCCAAACGCGCCTTCGGGAGTGACTGACTGGCGCACGAGCTCCCGCAGGCTGGCCGAGATCTTGGCAGTGCGGAAACGCTCCTCGTGCCTCCGCTGACGGCACTCGACGAAGCGCTGGGACTGATGCCGCTTCCGCTGGATGTCCACCTGGAGCTGCTCGCGCCGCATGCGCTCCTCCTGCTGCCGCTCGCGCCAGTGCTCCTCGTGCTGGGCTTGCTCCACGAAGTTGTCGTGCTGGACTCTCTTTAGGTACGCCTCCAGCAGCTGACTGCGCAATTCGTCTGCCCGACGCAAGCGCTGCGTTAGCCTCATGCAGATGTCCTGCTTGCGGATGGTCTCGTCCAGATGCTGCTCCTCCTGCTGAACGGTCACCGCCTCGCTGCGCCGCAACTCCTCGCAACGTCTCTGGCAGAGATTCAGGTCCCGCTCCACCCGCCGGGCCTCCAGTCTCTGTTTGGCAGCCGCATCCTTTGCGTCCAGAGCCCCGCGCAGACGCCGCAGCTCCGCCAGGTCTCGTTCTGCCAACGCCTGGAGGCGAGCCTTGGTCATCAGGTAGTCCTGGAACTGCTTGTCGTGCACGGCCTGCTTGTAGGCCTCCACCTGCTCCACCTTTAAGAGCTGCCTTTCCAGGCGCTCGTTCTCCCAGTACTTGCGCGCCAGCCAAGCGGTCTCCTTGTCCGCCGCCTGCTGGCTTCTCTTGCCCGCCATGCGGTTGATAATCCTTTGGTCGTGGCTAGGCACTAGCTGGAAGGCGGCGCGCACCGTTGGAGCCAAACAGAGATTGGCCATTGAGGTGCAGAGTGAGTTCTTTTTGGAAGCCTGCTGGTTAAACGGCACCACTGCCATGTTTCCATGTGACTTGGACTTGGCCCGTCCTGTCACCGATAGAGCTGGTGCATCATTAAGTGGACCTAAGATTTGCTGTAAGAGATTGTAATCAATTAATGATTTGTTGAAAGTCCTATTTTAAAAGTGTGACTTGGAGCTAAACAGTACATTGAAGCCTGGAAGATTTACTTAAAATATAAATAGTATTCCCCCAGATGTTCCACTTGCTCAATCAGCAATTGTACAGCAGCTATAGATAGCATCGGCCGACCCTTATACATTTTTAAAATCGGATCAGTTGACCAAAATATGTAATCCACATATAGAAACCATAAGAAAGTCCCAACCTTCCACATTCAAAAACAGAAAAGGTTCTGTATTTAATCGGGAATCGGGATCGTTTCAGTTAAGTCATTTGTTCGCTAGGATATACGTACATAGTCGACCGATTCCGACTTATAAATGCGTGATTATCATCTTCACAATACTACGCCTACGCCTAATACTACGCCGGAGGCTCAGGATGACCATAAAAGGTATAATGTACTGGGTATGTTTAAAGTTAAAACATAACCCTTTATAATCCTTTTAGGCGGTTTTAAATTTATTGCGAATATTTTACCTGAAGCATCTTACAGTCCCTTTGAGCACCACGGCGCTTCTGATGCTTCTGATTCTTTGCTTCCTGGGGCTGGTTGGGGCTCTCCTTTTCCTGTGACACACTCCTGATGCTGCCCGCGCTTTTGGAGCGACGACTCCTGCTGGAGGCGGACTCCCTCCGATGGCTGTCAGCTGAGCGACGCCTGCTTTGGTTAGACTTCCTCTCGGTTGGCGACCTGGAAGCGCTTCTCTGGCTGTGGCTGCTGGCACTCCTCCGGCATTTGGCGCTCTCCCTCCGATGCAGCTCCTCCAGCGCTCTTATGTCCTTGTCCAGCTGAACCAGCTCCTTGCGGCTCTCCTTGGCCTGGCCAAGGCGACTGCCAGACGAGCTGCCGCTGTGCGAGCTGTAGCAGTCGCAGTGACAGATTTCGCAGCAGCTGTCCACCAGCTCCAGCTCGCCGAGCAGCTTAAGGTGCTCTGCTTCAGTTTTGTTCCTCGCCCGCGACTCGCTGCGTCCGCGGCGCTTTCGCTTCGGGGTCATTTCGGGGCTGCGGCTGGTCGCTCACGCGTCCATCAAGGGGTGGCAGACCTAATCCAACGGGGTCAAACTGCGAACTGGCATCCAAAGTAGATCGCTAGAGATTTATTTTGATGCCTGGCGTAACCAACCCAAATTCGTGCGCCCGCCTTGCAGCGACATTCCAGACTGGGTTGTTTAATTTTTCATTGATTGGCCATATGCCGGTTGTCCCTAGCAACGCCCCCAAAACCAAGGGAACACCAGCCCCAAGGAGCTCCAAAGCCTTCCGGAAACAACCCTTGACAGTTTTAGAGGTTTAACCGAAGGTATTTCGGTGTTGGCACAGAATGCGCAAATTATCGGCATCAATTAGCTAATGTGGAAAGTGAAACGGCAAGCTGTCAAGGAGAAAAACCAAAATAGAAAGGAGAACTTAGTCTGGTTCACCCTTGCAGTCGACTCTAATGTCCTACAGGTTCGGGACACTGAACAAAGGCCCAACGCAGCTACGGCGTACCTTCCCTCACAAAGATAGTTCACAGCATAGTTACATATTTCACATACAGTATAGGTTTCGTGTATATTTAACTTTAAATTCTTTCACACAGTAGTTATATCTAAACATAGTTTAAATCAAATGCTAGCATTAAATAACAATCCAAAGTTAACGAAAAATTATCCGATCCCGTTTTCCACTTCCTCCGCGACGGGGAAGAACTTCATTTTTCACTATCTTTTCAGGATTCGCACACATCGTCTCGAGTGCCGAGTTGGGACGTTTCACATTAGCTATTAATACATTAACTTGAACAATTCTAGCTAATAATTTACAAAGACGGGCACGCACATACAATATTTAAACCCTTGTAGTCGTAATACTGCGCGACAACAACTAATAACCAAAATAAGATATTATTTAGGATGCGGACTTTTAAAGTGTTGGGAGTCTAGTATACATGTAGTAAGTAATATTGCTGTTCACTTTGAGGTTAGTTAAGGTTGAATCTTCCAAAAACAAAGCTAAAATGACCTGCAGCCCGAATCAGCAAGCTCCTATTCAAAGACCAGCGGTATCGAGGTGAATGGAAGAACTGGGCACGACGGCTCCAGCTGGAGGGATGTGGCGAAGCAGTCCGCCGAAGCGTGGAAGTCGCCTAGGGTCTCCAACACCTTTCCTAAGGCAAACCTAGGGGAGAAAAAATCCTGTTAGCTCAACAGCACAGTTAAGATAGCTGAATCCTACCATATCTTGGGGCAACTCGGATCCAACTTGGCCGCGTCCTTCAACATCTTCTCGGCCAATCTGGGCTCACCGAGTATTAGATGAGTCTCACCCAGAGCCCGCAGAGCGTCTGTGTGATGTGGGTTGGCGGCCACGGCGTTCAAGAAGCACTGCTTGGCATCCAGCCATTGCTCCAGATAGACGTGCACCTGACCTCGCTGAAAGATAATGCAATTATAAGCGCATTTCCATTATGTATGTCACGCGTGCGACAACATACCATAAACATAATCTGATGAGAGAGCGGATATATTTGGGAAGCCTCGTGGATGCAGTTGAGTGCCTCGTTTGGCTGGTCGATGCGTAGATAGACATCAGCCAAGAGAAGCCAGATCTAAATGGGGAATAAGTGAGTGTTAAGTGTCCAACAATCACACAGAAAATAGAAAACACACCTCGATTTGGAGCATCCAGGGTCGCCGGGGTCCTGGGCGCTGGGTAAACGAGCTCAGCGAGCTGGCCGCCTCACTCAGTGCCTGCTCCACTCGAGACACTGCAGCCAGGGAAGCGGCGTATACCGAATCTTGAAGAGGCGAAATGCTTGTGAGTATGTTGGGTCAAAATTTGACTTTAATTAAGGGAGCTGAACTCTTAGCTCATCAACTTATTTAGAATTTATAAACTTGCAAAGCTGATATATAAGATATATACAGTACAATATACATAAATACATCAACGAAGATAAATTACCGAATGTCAAGGTAAAAATTAAAGAGGAGCCATTTTATACAAAGATTTCATAGCATAAATAAAGGAATAGGAAACATTTTGGAAGATGAAATATTTATACAAATAAAATATAACTTAAACTTATCAAAGTCATTATATAAGAAATAGATTCATTGATTTATTGAATTTTAAAGAACAAAGTTCTAAAATACTATGATTAAAGGCCAGTTTAAATAGCAAAATTCTCCAATCAAAGCCACGATAGCTAAGCAGGCATGCAACTAGCAAACAAATAATCTTGAAAAGAAATTGTTGTGAAAGCGAACGCAGACCAATAGCATGCTTCGAAATCCAAGCTGGTCAAAGGCAATATCTTCCTTAGCACACTTACTAGTTATGAGATTTAGATTTGATTGTTATGTACAGTACAGACATTCCGCAGAAGTTGGGATACAGCAATAAATATTCACGAGTGTTTATACACAGAACATACACGTTAATATTGAAAAGTTGGTCAAGTTGCCAGTTGTAGCGACTATGTACTTACTGGAGTCCTTGTCGGACATCTGCGAAGAGTGCGCCAAGTGCACACCGCTCTTGGTGTCCGAGTGCTTCTCCTCCTCACCCGCCAGCTGCGCTTCATAGACGTCCCGCCACACGGCCAGCATGTGCTGCACAGTGGCCAAGGCCGTCTCCGCATCTTCCAGGTGGAGTTGCAGGTGCGCCTTCACGTGCAGCAGTTGCAAGTTGTCGGGAAACTCGTGCAAGGCGTCCTCAACCACTCCGAGAGCTTCGCGGGGCCGGCGAGAAGCCGTCAGCAGGAGAGCGAACAAATGGAGACAAGGTGCGTGTTCCATGCGAAGGGCTAGCGCGAAGCGAATGTGAACTAGGGCCTCTGCAAGCTGGCCCAGGAGAGCGTACTGAAGCGAGAGATAGTACTCGGCCAGATGGTCGTTCCCGTCTTGCTGTACGGCCCGCTCCAGAGCTTCCAAAGCCAACTTGTTGCACGCGTCCCGTTCGCTCTTCAGATTCGACTGAATGGCCAGCTGCTGATGTCCAATTCCGACAAATAGCTGGCAGCGCGACGGTCGCAGTCCTGCAATATAAAGCAATAGGTAATGATATCCAATGCCTGAGCCTCTACAATGTCGCCTACCTTTGACTTCCCGCTTCAGAGCCTGCTGGGCGTAGTCCAGTCCCTGCTTCACCGTTTCCAGACTTTCGTAGCAGAGGCGCGAGGCCAGCATGCAGGGCAGTGGGTCGCTTGGCGTCAACTTCATCGACTCCTGCAGGACGCGCAAGGCGTGGGCGTGCTTCTCGGCGGCCATCAAACTCAAGCCGTACTGCCGCCACACATGCTGCTCTCCGAAGCTGAACTTCAGCGCCTTCTCAAAGGATTCGTTCAGGAGTTGGACAAGACCCCAGCGCACCGTGGCGAGAGTGAGCAGATCATAGACGGCTGTCACGTTGCCCATTGCGTGCTGCCGAGCAATCCGAAACTCGGGGCTTTGCGAAAGAACAGTATCCCTCACGGCGAGGGCCTCTGCTATAAGAAGCAGCAGAATAACTTCCTCCTGCTGGTTCCGTGGCGAGAACTGCTGGCGTGCGGCATACTTCCGAGGTTTCCATAACTTTTTTGAGGAACCCCCACGCAGTGTTCCACCGCCTCCCTTCGCAACGAATGGCGGCGCGTAGATAGTTCCGGAAACGCCGCGAAGCAGCACTTCCGCCAGTTGGCGCGCCAAGGTCAGACGCAGGGATTGGGTGGCCTTTGTCTCAATGGCGTTCAGCATAATGCGATAGCGCTCAACGGCCTCCTGCAACTTTCCCGTCTTAATGAGCACAATGGGCGCACGTTGCAGCGCAGTTTCCAGGATGGCGCCCATCCGACGGTTGGCCTCCAGGCCGGTTGGGCCGCTGGCCGGAATGGTGCTGCTGATTGCAAAGCTGCTGCTCGAAGGCTGCACACTCGAAGCATTCACGTTGAGCGTTGAACCAGCCGTGGAGTTGTTTGAGGAGCCGCTGCCACTCACGATGTCATATTCCTGGAGGTACAGCAGGCCCAGATCGGAGGCGCGTTCAAAGCAGCTGATCTGCAGTATTCATTTGTGAATAATTATGAAACGGGAATAACTCCTAGCTTAACATACCATTTCAGTGTCCTTTTCGGCCTTTTTGAACTTGGACGAAGGCTTCGAAGTCTGCTGCTCCAAACATAGGCCCTTGATGGCGTAAGACTCGGCCAAGATCTTAAGGCTGCGCCTACAAACAAAAAAATTATTCAAAGACCATACAAAAATCGGTGAAATGCCGTTTACAGAGTTAGTTCTTTCTCCGCCAGCGTATTCAGCTCTGCCTTGACAAAGTTGTCCAAGCTCTGCTCATATTCGCCGCAAGCAAAGCATAGCTTGGCCAGTAGCAAATAGGCGTCCAGTGCGATCCCCGCTTTCTGTCCACTCTCGCCAAGGGCTAAATGAAGGAAACGCCTTGCCTCTGCCAGCCCAGACTTGGCCCGCCCAAAGGTCGAGTCAGCAGCTGCAAGGGCATTCTCCTCCAGGTAGTTCTCCAGGCGGGCTTCACCCACCAGGAAGTTGGCCAGACACTCTGCCAGAATAATACAGCCATTAAACAGTGGTCGAAAGTAACGCCTCCAATTACTCACCGTTGTGTGGCGATCCGGTCTTCAACTCATCAGTCAGCTCAATGACGCGCTGCCACTTTCCCTCGCTGCGGCAGCTCTCAATCAGCGCCTCCACCTGCAGCAGTAAAAACATTAGTTGTTAGTCACATTATAACCCACTGGATATCCTGACCTTGGTGGTGTTACGCATATTTCTGTTGGCCATCCGTCCGTTTGACAGCTGGGGGAAGAGTCCTCGATGCTCTGCTGTCTCAGTTTGGTGGAGTCGATGTGTCTACCCTGTCCAGCCTCAGCTTACAGCATTTTTCTTCAGCTAATCGAATTATTTCTCAAACATTGGACTTTTCGTGTTGATTCCGTCTTCTTCTTTGGCAGGCCGATAGTATGACCGAATCGGAAACGTAAGACAACGTAACACAATGACGTAAGATGTAACTTTAGTGGAACCGTTTCTGATTTGCGGAATGTTTCTCCATCCCTGTCGTATTTTCCGTTGCGATATCTCTGATATTAGTTTTCATTTTGTATAGATTTAACATTACCGATATTGTCTAATATTTTATTTTTACATTTTATTATTAAACTATTTTCCTTATAATAGTATTCAAGAGTTGCCTAGAAAAAGGAAACGTTTTAACCCAAACCATAAAAATTTATTAAAGAATAGCAGAATTAATAGTTTAATTTAATAGTTTTTCTGTCAGGATAGTTATTATTTCGTATAAAACTAATTAAATAAACATAATTTACCGGGGGCTAACAATGAAAAATTTAGCCAAAATATAATAGTTATATGTATACGATTCATACAATATCGTCGTCACTTACAACCAAAACCTGTTGAATAGAAATAGAAATATGTAACTACAGTAAATAACCAACATCATAAATATATTTTCTTCATTCATACCATCCTCTGTGTTTCCCTTAAATTAGGGAGGTGAAAAATTCATCGATAGTGGCCATAAGATAACGATATTGCTAAAAATTTGAAAAAGTCGATGTATCGATGCTTCCGCCTATGTTGCACCACCTCTAGATCATATTCGTTTGATACATTATCAACAACCCTCTTACGCGTCTCCGCAAATAGTTGCGCCGTTTGTGTCGTAAACCGTTCAAAACAACCGAAATCGCGGCTCGAGTGAGGGAAGAGAGAGTACTCACCTGTGTGAAACAACTGGAATTTGTAAATGAGCTACTTCTATTGACCCCAGCAAGCCGACTCACAAAGCGGTAAGTTTCCTTCTATCCAATTTGGCTAAAAACGTAGGGGCTACGAGCGCTCAGCTGTTTTGTGGTTTCTGTGTTTTCATCGCACCAACACACTCGCCCCCGCCAACAGGGCCCGAAAGGGACGGAGATAGTCATGCTAGATAATGCAAAAGTGAGAGTGATTTTAGCGCTTTTTTTTTTCTCTTGTGCATTCTCTCTGGCCCGCTGTCAATCTTCTAATTGGAAAGTTACACACACTACCAAGGGCGATACTCCCACCTCTTTTATTTTCTTTCAAGTTTAAATTCTGGGTTTCACGCGTCACTCGAGCAATCAGAACTTATTGACTCACCTCGTCACCCCACGCCCCCTGCACCAGGCCGACGCGACTTTTATCGCGTGCTTGTCAGATGTCCAAGTTAATTGCCAGGCTTCTATTTCATTCATTTTTATTTATTTGTTGCTTGTCAAAACTCTGTGAAATCGCCTTCCCATTAGCCATTCGTGGCATGTACCGCCAATAAAATAGCAGATCATTACGTAAAACAAACATTTAAAAGCACATTAAACTGGACGCGTTCGCAGTTCGATCTTATTGCGCTTTTCCCTCCTGCCCTCCGGTTGGCCTCCGCCTGGGGTTTGTTTGGATTTCTTGGGGGATTTAATCTGGCGCGAATAGGGAAAACTCCCTCGCTGCCCCTTTCGCCGACTGCGATTCTACGGCTGGTGGCACAGTGGGATTGGGGAAAAGAAAGAGCCGAGCCAAGCAAGTGCTTTCAGCGACTCGACGTCGTGGTTCTGCTGGTTATGACGTAATGACAATAATTACAAGGCGACTGGCTGGCAAATAGTGGAAGTGGTAATAGAATGGGGAAGGCCATGTGGTGGGAAAGTATGGATACGCGAGTTAAAAACTTTAAGGATGCAGGACAAAAGCGGTAATATGTGCGCACAGTGGTTCGAATATAACTTAAAAGGTGGAATAGCTAAATAAATTAAATAATTTATTTAATTAAAGATACTTTAACTTCGTTTTGAATTTTTATTTTACTTTTTTCTTATTTTTATTAAAGCCTTCAGGCGGAAGTTATTTAGGTGGGCTCTTCAGAGGCGCAAAGCATCAGGGATAAGGAATTCGTGTGTTTCAGGGAATAGTTATGGACATACATATTTGTATGTATGTATGTACATATGTACACAGGTATGTGGCACTTGCTAGTTTTGTGGATACTTTCGTAGATGTCTCAGCCGGTTTTTTAACCGGCTATCTATGTACCTAGACCCGTGCGTGGAGTGCAGAGAAAATTTGAAAAACGACTAAAAATTTAACGAGTCTGTTTATCGCAGTTGCTACTTTTCTGTATCTTTCTTTTCTGGATCTCTCTTTGGCAGGCCACTTCTCGAATTAATCATCAATATGCTGCTTTTAAAGAAGAATGTAATTATTATTTTGAACTTTAATGGTGACTTTTTATTTTAGAAACATTAGGAATATTAATAAACAACTGCTGCTTAATTCTTTTATTATTTAAAATTGAACACCGATTAGTAAAATCCACCTTACATTGGCAACTAGAAAGCAGTGATTTCAAGCGTTTCAACTGGATGTGGTTTGCTCCATTGCGTGGTGTTCACAGGTTGCCAATAGAATACATTTTAAACTATTCAATTCAGTTTTACTTTCTATACCCGAGTATACTAAAGTACGAAATCTGTAAGATTTTGAGCATACCCTTATATGTATGTATGTATAATACCGCCCACACTGATCAATTTGGTTTCCAATTTTTTCCACGCCAACGCCGGCACATAATCTACTTTTATAAGATAACTTCAATTAAAATAGGCCTGGTATAAAAAAATGTCGTGAAATGGGTTACTACAACAGTGTTTTTTAGTAACAACATGTTCTTTTAAGGTATGGATAGTCTATCTCAAAGTCTCATTAGGATTTATTTTGAAATAAGGAACATCATGCCGTTTAAAAGAAAGCTGTCCAAACTCGAGTTTATTGAATTTCCCTGGCAGTTGTTTACCTTGTTTTTATTCTTTCTGGCTATCGTTATTTCTAGGCTACTTTTTTTTGTGCGCACTCTTTGGGCACCTTTCCTTCCCTCCCCTGTCTCTGGCCGGGCTCCCCAAGCTTTGTTTACCTTTTTTGCCTTGTTCCGAGTTGATTTAATTCAAACATGCTGTTTTTAGGTAGTTTAAGCTGCTCCAGTTGCTTTGTTGGCTTGCCACGCTTCGCTTTGCGTTTTAGCCGGATTATTTTCTGGCTGCTTTTTGGCAAAAGGAACGCGCTTCAGTCTCACCTTCCACCCCGGTTATTGCCACCTGATAGGTCTTCTCATTAGAAGCAGTTTTTTCATAATTTGCTCTGACTTTGCTTGGTCGCCTCTTGCCCTTTGCCCTCATCGGTGCTTCTCTTAACCCCCCCAGGACCGTATAAAGTTTTTTTTTTTTAACAAATTACCCTTAAATTAACCTATGACTGAAATATATGATTAACTTATTATTGTCTCTTGAATGGTTTCTCTTAATGACGTATTTGAGAATAAGTGTTGTTATCGCCCAGATGTTTGCTAACTTTTATTTAATCTTTAACTTTGTGGACGCTTATCGGGCAGTGGTCTGTACATTGGCATTAGTTCCATTGGGATTCAAACTGCAATCGGTATAAACTATATTGAAATAAATCAAGAAGAAATATATCGCAAATTTTTGGAAAAATGTAACTCTAAATTTAAAATAGTGTTACAAAAATAGACTTCAACTAGAGGCCCGACTCTGCATTTACCAATAAACCCTAAATCAAAAGGGTCAACTAAGGCTGGTACATTTATCTATTCCCAATAAAATAGGTTTTTTAATAATTGATATGGATCTGGAACCAAAAAAACCTTATACTTTTTAAGCTTAACGTTTCACATGGGAATTGAATATGCATTTTTATAAAAAAGCCCTTCGGCCTCGAATAAACTTTTTATCATATGTTTGTATCTTAAACGTTATTATGATAAGTAAGTTTTTATGCTCTGTTATCGAATTATTTTTATATCCGGTCCTGGAGGAGCACAAAAGTATATTTTGGATCCATAAGAGGACGAAAAACTTTGTTCTGGCAATCCTATTCTTGGCTAGCTTTTGCCCAGACTCTGTTTCCTAATACCTTCGTTTCAAAAGGAAGAGATAAAAATAGGAGAAGTTGTCCCATTAAATAGGTATTCCTGTTACTCATATTATTTATTATTTATAATATGAGTGAATTAGAGATCAGTTAGTGCAAATATCAATCTAAACACTTTCCAAGGACAAACTTCAATCTGCAAAACTAAACTAAAAGTGTTAGTGAGAAAAAAGCACCAGGTTTCAACTAGGATCCTTTTCTATTTCATCTATCTCTCGGTCATAAACATGTCCTACACGTAAGCACGGCAAGGCGTGTTATTATGTCGCTCCTTACACATTGCAAAAAATGTTCCCTTGATTCATAAATACTTAAATACAGTTGCGAAAAAAATAATAGCACCACCTCAGCACATTTTGATTTGGGCGAAACAAATGTAGTTACTGTTGAAATTTATTACAATTTTAATTTTTTGTATATTGTTTAGTATTTTTTTAATAAAAAAACAATCTTAACTTATACTCAAATTCCTTTTTAGATATTCATTTTATTTTAATTATTTTTAATTGAAAAAAATAATAGCACCAGTTCCACTTTTCTTATTAAATCATTGAAGTTAACCTTTTTTAATTATAGAACTAAAAAAGCTAAAATTTTAAGCGGGAAGTACTGCAATATGAATAAACGTAATATTATACAAACGCATATAAAAATAGAAAACTAGTGAATATAGTCAAATTTTCCAAGAAAATAGTTAGTAAAGCCGTGAACTATTAAAACAACTTTTGAAATTTAAGTAATATTGATCTCAAAAAAGATCAATTTGAAGTCCGCTAAAAAGCTTTAAACGGAACAAAATACAAAATGATAGTTTAAGTTTAAACAGTTCGCTAATATCCAAAGCACGTTAATCTATTAGTCTTCGTCCCAGGAAATGTCCCCCCATCAAATGGGAGACACATTAACCAGAGCATATAGTTTTCCAAGTAATCTCAAAATGGCATGACTCGAAAATGGCGAAAAATGGTATGCTCAGGTGGGCCCAAAGTAGTTATATTTGATGGTATATTATATGAAGTTCAAATAACTTAGCTTACAACCAACCTTCATACAACACTCCCCTATCAGGGAGTAGGTCATCTATACATGGCCTAAAACCCACCATGGATTATCATAAATGCATAAATATTTATATAAATATAAATATTTTGAAGACATCTTTTTTCGATCAAAATATTCATATAACATTGTCAGGACCCTGTTGCCTCGTTGCGAAATAAATTTTTGTACATAAAGGACGCGCTACTATAAATTAGTTAATGCAGGGGGTCTTAGTTTTGGGTATTTATATTGTTGAATGATAAAGTTTTTTTTTTAAATTCGTAATTTCTCTGGTTCACAACCCGTTTTGGAAAAGTGTTGTTTTTGACGGTCATTTTGCGACCTTTCACTACTCTTTTATAAAGATTTACAATTTTTAAAATTTGTTCTGCGTATCACTAAAGTTAAAAATATGAGCCCGGTGACAAGTGCTTTTTTTTTGTTCGCCTAATTAAACTTTAATTTTTAAAAACCTAATTAAACATATTTCGTGACACAGTGAAACCAGAAAGAAGTTAGAGCTGGCGAACGCCCCCAGATCAAAGCGTCCTCATATTTTTATAACCGAGAACGCAGCTGATATTTATTATAGTAAACACTGGATTTTTCAAGATTTAAAAAGTTGGTTCTTTTTTTAAAGCTTAGTTTAAAGCTTTTTTTTTTAGTGTTAAATAGTATAGTTTTGACTCCCAAACAAAAAAAAATTACTTTACCCAAAAGGATAAAAGAAAACTCTAAAATGTTGCACAAGTCGGAAAATACATAGTATTTATAGTTGATATCTGTAAGCTTG